CCGTTCGGCGCCTTCTGCGCGCTGGCGTCAGCAGGAGACGCGCCATCCGCAGTGTGCGTCTTCTGCTGCTCGCTGGCGCGTGGCCCACCAAGCTCAACTTGGTGGACCTCGCCACTGCGCAGCAACACGTCGAAAAAAGCGGGATGGGAACTCAATTGAACTTGAGCTGGGAAAAATGAAAAACGTGGGTGGAGGAAGAATGACCTCCAACCCCATTATATGGTTGGAGAAGGGCGAATAGCGTGCTTCGACGATGCCTTAGATTGCGTTACAAGCAGCTTCGCATTCACAATACACAATTTTGAAAGCGTGAACACTTTAAAAAATTATATTTCGCGACGCTATGTCTTTTGGCGCATAGAGGGGTAAGCTGTAGGAGAAGAACTTAACTCAATTTCAAACTTCAATCAAGGTTCAAGAAACTCACAAGGAATTAGAGGAGCAAGAGAAAGGTTGGGATAGGAAGAGAGGGAAGAGAGGGAAGGTCCCAAGAGAGTCTCCAACCAAGGAAACCCCATAAGCACAAAGTTCCCTCCCTATAGGAACCCCAAATTTGACCTTTGTCCCTTCCCTACCAATCCAACCAAGTTGGCCACCCTTACCAACCTAGCTTGGTTGTTCCCAACCAATTTGCAACTGCTACAGTAGAGTGACGAATTTCCCCAACCCCTAATGGTCCCAACTCCATATAGAGTCACCCCACAACTTCACTTTGTAACTGCCGCAATTGTAACGCAAGCTCATGAACTTTGAATCTTCATAGCTTTCGCGTTCTTGCTCCGATTGAAGCGATTCTTGTTGCGTCGGAAAGATCTTCTCAAGATATATCATCACAAATACCTGCTCAAACAAAAGTAACACAGAGCACATTCCCAAACTCCAGATGAGACCACACATAAATGTCAAACATTAGTATATCTAGTGTTTGTATAGATTGTATAGGGTCACCTCTTAGAGAGTACAACCCTTAGATATGTATGCTTGTACCCAGGTTCTCTACTTATTCATTACTCAGTTTTAAGATGGTATCAGCAGTAGGTAGGTCCCGCCGCCCGCCCATGCTTCCGCCCTAGGCCCTAGCCTCCCCCGCGCCCGTCCTAGCCGCACCCGCGCGCCCGTCCTAACCACGCCCGTCCTAGCTGGCCCCCGCGCCCGTCCTCATGACCCTCGCGCCCGTCCTAGCTGGCCCCGCGCCCATCCTAACGGCCCCCGCGCCCGTCCTAGTCAGCCCCGTGCCCGTCCTACCGGCCCCCGCGCCCGTCCTTACCGGCACCGCGCCCGTCCTAGTCGCCCCCCGCGCCCGTCCTAACGGCCCCCGCGCCCGTCCTGACGGCCCCCCCGCGCCCATCCTAGCTGGCCCAGCGCCCGTCCTAACGGCCCCCGCGCCCGTCCAAACGGCCCCCGCCCGTCTTAGCTGGCCCCGCGCCTGTCCTAGCTGGCCCCGTGCCCGTCCTAGCTGGCCCCGCGCCCGTCCTCACTGCTCCCGCGCCCGTCCTAGTCGGCCCCGCGCCCGTCCTAGTGGCCCCTGCGCCCGTCCTACCGGCCCCCGCCCTCGTCCTTACCGGCCCCGCGCCCGTCCTAGCGGCCCCCGCGCCCGTCCTACCGGCTCCTGCGGCCGTCCTAGCCGGCCCCCCGCGCTCATCCTAACTAGCCCCCGCGCCCGTCCTACAGGCCCCCGCGCTCGTCCTAGCTGGCCCCCGCGCCCGTCCTACAGGCCCCCGCGCGCCGTCCTAGCCGGCCCCGCGCCCGTCCCAGGCCCCTCCTAGCCGGCCCCGCGCCCGTCCCAAGCCCGTCCTAGTCGGCCCTGCGCCCGTCCTACCTGGCCCCTGCGCCCGTCCTCGCCGGCCCGGCGCCCGCCGCTACTGGCCCCCGTGCCCGTTCTGCCAACCCCTGCGCGCGCCCTGCCCGTCGATCTCCGTGCGGCCCCGGGCTCACCTTCCCGCCGGACTGCCGCCAATCTGCGTGCGGCCCGCTCTTCGTGCTTGCTACTGCACTGCACCCTCCCTGGTACGGTTCTCCATCACCTTGCACTGCACTGCACCCCCTGCACCGCACGGCACCGCGCTGCACCGCACTGTACTGCACTATACCGCGCTGCACCGCATCGTACCGCCCTGCACTCCACTGTACCGCCATGCACTGCACTGTACTGCCCTGCACTGTTCCTGATGGCGGCGGAGCTTCGCTTCGACGCTGAAGGCCAGCGTCTGGAGTTTGAGGCCTGGCTAGCTGACCTCCGCCGCCACCTCACTGGTCAGCGGCAGGATGGCCACCCGCTCTCGGCACATCTTGATGGTACGCTTCCCTGCCCAGACCCCCCTGCTGTGCTGCCCGCTGACCCCACACCCGCTGAGCGCGAGTCTACTGCGGCCGCTGCCCTCGCTCGCTCTGTCTGGCTTTCCCGTGACGCTGTCGGCGTGACGATAGACAAAGCCGAGAACAAAGCCAAGGCCTTCAAGATCCTGGCAGGCGACAAGACATACCCGAGGGCCCGCACCGCCAATGCAGTCCTACACAAGAACATGCACTTCAGGTAATGCGCTAGAAAGAGAGCTCCTTGCATACGCTTCCACTCTAACTGGTGCCTCTGAATTGCGGGCTTGTGTCATGCAAATCTAAACTTGAGTGGACCCGTGATTGCTCGGCCCTTCTCCCCTCCTCCTCCCCCCCCTCCGCCCCCCCCTGTCCCCCCCATGCCCACAGGTGCCTTGCGCACATCTTGAACCTGGCGGTTCAACGGGCACTAGCAGTGGGGGCGGTCGCCGAGCTGCTGAAGCGTCTCAGGGACCTCGCTACGCATGTTGGGTGGTCTGTCACGCGCTCGGAGCGCTTCGAGGAGGACCAGCTCCGAGTTGCGGACGACCCAGGCGTAGGGGTGCTGCGACTCATCACTGACACACCCACTCGTTGGGGCTCCACCTATGAGATGCTGAGGCATGCTATCGACCTCAAGACAGCCCTCATGGTGTACTTGTCGCGGCCAGAGGTAAGCATGGCATGGCGCGTGGCATGACGCATGACATGACATGGCATGGCATGGCATGGCATGGCGCATGGCATGACATGGCGCATGGCATGGCACATGGCATGGCATGGCATGGCGCGTGGTATGGCATGGCGCATGGCATGGCATGGCGCGTGGCATGGCATGGCGCATGGCATGGCACATGGCATGGCATGGCATATGGCATGGCATGGCACATGGCATGGCATGGCCTGGCGCATGGCATGGCATGGCACATGGCACTTCATGGCGCAAGGCAAGGCATGGCACAAGGCTTATGGCATGCCAAAAGGGCATGCTCTCATGTCTCACTCCGTCCCTCCTCTCCTATTTCCCCCCCCTGTCCCGTGTCCACCCTGCTAAACCCTCCAGCCCGGAAGCTCCTCCAAGAAGCAGCCAGACTCCCAGAGCAAGTACCACCTGAGGGACGACCGCTGGGAGACTCTTGTGGAGGTAGCGGCTTTTCTGAAGCCGTTCAACTCCCTCACCATAGCTGATGAGGGATCGCTGTATCCAACAGCCGCCACGGTAGTCCCTCAATACAACCTGCTCATCGACAACCTCGAGACGATGTACCACAACAAGAAGACCACGCCTGTGATCAAAGACATGGCATGGGAGGCGCTGGAGGTCGTGAAGAAATACGAGTACGAGGTGGCGAAAGAGCTGGCAGTGGCCACCGTGCTCGACCCCCGCTACAAGCACTACTTCAGGCTTCCACGGTGGGAGGCACAGAACGAGCAGTTGGCCACCGACACTGCAGGCACGGCCAGAGTGATCCCAGTGCTGGACAAGGAGAGGGTGGCGAAGGTGGTTCGGAAGCGCCTCGGCAGGTATTTGGCTAAGCTGCAGGGCGGTGGGGAGACAGAGGGGACGGAGGGGACAAGCAGACCTACCGCGGTTCATGTCGAGTGTGGCGCCGGGGGCGAGGGCGGCAGATCGGTTGGGGGAGGGGGGGATGATCTGGTGGACGAGCTGTTCGATAGGATGGACGCACAGGCGGCATCGGCGGGGGTTAAGGCACCTGATGAGCTGGAGAGAGGTACCTGGCGGAGCCCCGGCTTAAGCTTGGCTGCCCCCTAAAATTCTGGCACAATAGGGTAGACCTGCCTGGCCTACGGGCCAGGGCTCGCGACTACTTGGCGATCCCGGCCACATCCGCTGCTAGCGAGAGAGTGTTTAGTCAGGGGCGAGGCATAGTGTCGTGGCAACGCCACCGGTCGAGCGCCTCCCAGGTGCGTGCATCCATGACGATCAAGTCCTGGATGACAGAGCACCAGGGTGAGCAGCTCCTGGGGCCGGCAGCTGCACATGCATTGAAAGAGCTTTGCATCGAGGGTGAGGAATTGGGTTGTGATGGCCTCAAATGGGAGAGGGGGATGATGGAGGTTTGATGGCTGGGGGGAATGGTTGGGCTGTGTGTGATTTGTGCAGGTTGTGACTTGCAACCTAAGGCCAAACTTCAGTGTTAGACACGTCGTCCGTGCTACTAGGTTGGCACTCCTGTCCTTATTTGGCGAACCCAGCATTGACCTAAGGGGTTGTGTAGGCGTGGTTTCTTACACGCACTCTAGTTGCATGGTAAGTTATGTTTCCAGCATTCATTAGGCATCTCAACAAGCAAACAACAGCATCCAAACAGCATGGGTGCTGTTAAAGCCCAGGTCCCAAATTAGAAAAGTCAAACACGAACCTGCATCAAATTGGGGGCAGTTTGATGTAGGTTCGGGCTGGTAACTGAATCCACACCCCCTCGAACAAATGAGCCCAAGCCGAACCTGCAGGGTTTTCTCAAGCGAGAGAGACGAATTCCTCCGTCCAGGGCAATCCCCTCAGAGCTGGCCCCAGAAAGCCCAACAGCAACTTGAGTCGAGATGCATGGGCCAACTTGATCTAGAAATATGGGACCAAGCAAACCATAGAGTATGGGGCTTTCGCATGACAAGAGCAACAGAATAGAGACTCAAGGGACTAGAGTTGCCTCAAGATCGAAATGCCGAGTACATTAGAAGGTTTAACGTGAGGCTAGGAGAGTAAGAGCGCTACTGGGAGGCGCCGCGAGACGGTAATGTGGCGCGAGGGTAGATAGGAAAGGCGAGGGTGGATAGGAAAGGCGAGGCGGAAAGTTGGCGCGAGGGTGAAATAGAAATGCTAGGGGGGAAGGGGACGCGACGGAGAGAGGGGGGACGCGGTGAGGAGAGGGGACGCGGCGAGGAGGGGGGACGCGACGAGGAGAGGGGACGCGACGGAGGGAGGGGGCGCGGCGGGGAGAGGGGACGCGGCGGGAAGAGGGGAGGCGGCGGGAAGAGGGGAGGCGGCGGGAAGAGGGGAGGCGACGGATTTTGGGAACGCCGCAGGGGGAGGTGAGGCATGCACCAGAGGGTAGGCAAGGTGAGGCGAGGGGGAGGCAAAGGTAAGGACCCATGGGTGGTAGTACCGAGGGATTGAAGCGTGAGGGTGAGGGAGGGGATGAGAGAAGGATGGGAGGGAGGGAGAGAGTCGGAGGGGGACAGGGTGAGAGGAGCAGAGGGGGGGAGGTCGGGGGGGAGGGAGAGTGGGAGGTTGGGGGGGGGGGGGAAGTCGGGGTGGGAGGCGCGATGAGGAAGGAAGAGAGCTGTGTGAGTGAAAGGATAAGAGGCAAAGAGGGGGGAGGGCTGGCGAGAGGCGCGCTAGTATGCGACAGGAGAGATCCGCGGGTAAGAGTGAGGACGCGCGGAAGGGAGAGGGAGAGAGGGAGGCGCAAGGAGGGAGAGAGTTCCAGAGGCGCGGGGGGACGGAGAGAGGGGAATAGAGGGTGAAGAGAGGGAGGGAGAGAGTGGGAGGGGGGGAGGGCAAGAGGCGCAGAAGGGCGCTGGTCGGGGGGGAAGGCAGAGGGATGGGTCGGGGAGGGGGTTTGAGGGGGGAGGCGCCATTAGGAAGGAAGCGAGCTTCTGTTTATGGTGGAGGTAGGGCGCGAGAGGCGCAGTGGTGAGCGACAGGGAGAGGCGCATGGGTGAGAGTGAGGAGGAGTGGAAGGGAAGGGAGGAGGGAGAGAGGCACAAGAGGGAGGGATAGGCAGAGGCGCTGGGGGGAGGGGGAGGGGGAGGGGGGGGTAGATACTGCCGGGAAAGAGCATACAGAGCAAGATAGGACAGGGAGCGAGACCCGTAAGGGAGGAGCGTCTAGTATAAGAGGGGATTGAGTCGCACAGGTGGGAGGGAAGAGGCCCAAGGGAGGGCGAGAGGCGTGGCAGGGAGGCAAGGGGGGAAGCGCGAGAGGGGAGAGGGAGAGAGACGCCCGGGAAGAAGGGAGAGAGGGAGGGAGGATGAGGGGCGCGGATGGAAGATGGCTTGCTGGCGGGAGGCAAAAGGCACGATGCAGGGGGTGGAGGCAGGAGGTGAGTGGTTTGTGAAGGATGGAAAGAGGGACGGGCAGACGCACCAGGGGGAGGAGAGGGTGGGGGGGGAGGGCGTAGTGTGATTGGACGAACGGGGAGAGACACAGACGGGGGCAGAGGGAGAGACGCATTGGGTATGAGGGAGGGAGAGGGGAGTGGAAAGGGGGGGGGGGGGGGGCACTTTATGTGAGAAGGAGATGTGAGGCGCGAGAGAGGAGGCGATCACGCAAAGGAAGATGCGTGGCCCGAGAGGACACGAAGAGGGTTTAGGGGCAAAGGGGGATGGTGTGGTAAGGATGAAGGTGCTGCAGAGGGATCGTGACCGGCTGCGGCGAGATGCGAGGGGGAGTGCAGAGACGAAGACGTCTGCACGGATGCGCATGGCTTAGGAGGGAGGCGGGGGGGGGAGGGGGATGGAGAGATGAGAGGGAAGGCAAAGGGGAGAGGAGACGCGAGGGAGGGCGTGGGGGGAGGAAACGGGTGGGGTGAGAAGAGGTAAGGTGACGGCAGAGGGCTGAGGAGGATAGAGCATGCTGGGAGGAGGCGTATGGGGGGAGGATCGACCATGCAGGGCGGAGGGGATCAGGGGGGGGATAGAACATAAAGAAAGGAGGCGCATGGGGGGGGGATAGAGCGTGTAGGGAGGTGTAGCATGGGGGCAGGTGAGAGCATGCAGGAGAGGCATGGGAGGAGAGAGGCATTGGTGGAGAAGAGTCCCCAATATTGGTCTGCCACCAGTGTGGCCAACCCACAGGGCTTTCATCCCCCCAAATTTGGCCCATCACAATCTCCGTGTCTCTCCCATCCTGCCCCTGCGCATCCTTCTCCTGACCATGCGTCACAGGTACCAGGAGGCATGACACTGCGGCCACAGTACCTTAGGACCTGGCTTTAGGGCTCCAGGGAAAGGGCAGCACAGCAGAGCAGTGCGGCTCCATCGCTGGCTGAAAGGCACCAGCTTGCGTAGTTGTTATACCAGTAACGCTCTTAGATGTTTGATTTTACAACTCGGATACTCAGTATTGTGACTGTAGGGATTTGCATGTAACTTCCAGGTTTAGTGGAGATGGGTATTTGGTTACAAATCTAGCACCAATTGTCACCGGACAAAGTTTGTAATGACAAGAGAGGCTGCCCTTGGTACAGTGCAGATGCTGGTGACGTGCACATTCCTGCTTGTGACCCCGTTGGGGCATGGCTCACAAGAACCACAACAGTACGGACAGTGCAGGTGCTAGTGGCATACATAGTTCTGTGCGGTTCAAGAGAAAAGTTGGATGAGCTCTCTCATTCCGCCATACCCACTCATGTATCATCCCGCCAATGCCCCCACTCATGCTCTCCCCCCCTCTCATCCCGCCTCCACCCCTCTCATCCCGCCTCCCCTCCTCTCATCTCGCCTCCCCCCCTCTCATCCCGCCTCCCCTCCTCTCATTCCTCCTCCCCCCTCTCATCCCTCCTCCCCTCCTCTCCTCCCGCCTCCCCTCCTCTCATCCTGCCTCCCCTCCTCATCCCTCCTCCCCTCCTCTCATCCCGCCTCCCCTCCTCTCATTCCTCCTCCCCCCCTCTCATCCCTCCTCCCCTCCTCTCATTACTCCTCCCCCCCTCTCATCCCACCTCCCCTCCTCTCATCCCACCTCCCCTCACTCATTCCGCCATCCCCTCCCTCATTCCGCCATCCCCTCCCTTGCCGTCCCCTAGGAGAATCCACATTCTCCTCCCTTACTCATCATTTCCTTCCCACATTCCGCCATCCCCTCCCTCATTCCACAGTATATCTATCGCACTTCCGCACGTGTTTGTCGAGCCAATGTGATCGATAGCGGCGCCATCTATAGCATGACACCTCGTGCGGACTTGCTCACCGAACTTGAACCGTCGCCGGTCAAACATGTTACATCGGCTTTGGGGCAGCGAGCAGAGGTGAAAGGCATGGGCAAGGCCATGTTCAAGGGTGCTGATGGGAAGATGGTGGGCCCCAAGAACGTGCTTTTGGTGCCCAACCTAGCAGCCAACCTGATTTCCGTTCGGCATTTGCAAAAGGCCGGCATGGACACATCTTCCAAGGGTTCGAAAACATATACCGCGAGGCTTGGTGAGCGGAAGCTTTGGGACCTTCATGAGGACAGGGACATCTACAATGAGATGTGGCAAATCCCAGTGGTCCCCATGCCTAAGGAGAGGCAAGTGGCAGCAAGCGTCAGCACCAAGAGTGAAGCGGATGGTGGCGGTGATCACGGAAAACAAAGTGACACCAAGAGTGACTCGAAGGAGTGCAACCTTGGAGAGACCAGCAAGGCGTGTGAACCCAAGGAGAGTGGTGCAGCAGCCAAAGGTGGTGGAAATGAGGAGGGGAAGCCTAAGATCAGCAAAGCAGCAGCGGCGAAGGAGAAAGGAGAGAGCTTGTGGGGCACGATTGCGAGTGCCGCTTTCTCCAACCCGACTTCCGCTACGGGAGAGTGTGATTGGCTGACCTTGCATCGGCGAATGGGGCATGTGGCATTGCCCATTTTGCAGCAGATAGTTAAGCAAGAGATGGTCAGTGGGATACGTGTCAAGGGGGAGCCCAATGAGGTGCTTGGCTGTCCAACATGCATGCAAGCCAAGTTCACCCGCTACCCGTTCCATAGCTCGGAGACAACGGCGAAGGCACCACTTGATGAGGTGGTGATGGATGTGGTGGGCCCCTTGAAGCTTGGAGCTGCAGGAGCTGAGTACTTCCTCACCATTGTGGATGTCTACACTCGCATGACTTGGGTGTATGTGCTGCCGAAGAAGAGTGACGTAGCTGAAACGGTGAAGACCGATTGGTTGCCAATGGTGGAGCGGCAACAAGACCGACTTGTGAAGGCGATTCGCACTGACCGTGGGGGAGAGTTCCTGAGCAAGGATTTCTCAACTTGGCTGAAGAAGCAGGGTATAAGGCACTCTCTTACCATGCCCTACTCTCCTGCAATGAACGGCATCGCCGAGCGTGCGAATCGGACACTCACGGAGACGGCTCGGGGACTTCTCATTGAAGCCGGTCTTCCCAATTACTTTTGGCCGGATGCGGTGCGGCATGCTTGTGTGGCAAAGAATAGAGCCTTGACTCATGTGGGAGAAGACAAATGGGTGCCCTATGTGGAGTGGATTGGAAGGAAGCCGAAGATGGATATGCTTCGGGTGTTCGGGTGCATGTGCATGGCACTTGTGCCTAAGAAACTTCGGCACAACAAGCTTGATGCCAAGGCAACATGGGCCGTGCACCTGGGCATGGCTCAAAACAGCAAGGGATGGCTTCTATGGGACCCATTTACCAAGAAGTTCTTGGTGAGCAGAGATTGCAAGTTCATGGAGAACTTACCGTACAAGGAGTGGAAGGCGGAGAACCAAGCGAAGATTGGTGTGCGGCTTGGAGAGGTGAAGAGTAACGGCTTGGAGCATGTGGAGCTGCCCTTGGAGCTGAGTAGCAGCAGCACAGTCACGAGGCAATCTCCTCAAATGAATGGGGATGAGGAGGAGGAGGAGGTGCAGCAAGGTGATGAGTGTGCACCGTCACTTCCGCCTCGTGCTACAAGTGCTCGTGGGAACCGACCAGATTTACCGCAACGCCATGAGAGCATTCAAGTCCCTGCAGCAGAGGAGGAAGGAAGGGGGAGAAGGAGGACTCAGCCCCCTAATAGGTTGAGCTATGATCGGCTTGGAGGACCAGCCAACTCAACCTTGACCGGTTCGGCTCTCATGCTAGGCGATGATGCGGAAGATGAAAGCGAGGAGTGCGCCTTTTGCCTTCTTCTCTCCGGTGGAGATGTCGGGGGAGCCTACAAATCCCAAGGAGGCTTGGGAGGGCCCCAATGGGAAGGAGTGGAAGAAGGCCTCAGATGAAGAAATGGGGAGCATCATCGAGAACGACACGTTTGACTTGGTGAACCTACCTCCGGGGCATAAGGCGATCTCTTCCAAGTGGCTCTTCAAGCGCAAGACCGACGCCGACGGCAACATCGAGCGCTACAAGAGCAGACTTGTAGCCAAGGGGTATTTGCAGCAAGAGAAGAAGGACTACAATGAAGTGTATGCCCCTGTGGTGAAGGGTACAACCCTTCGAACCCTCTTCGCCGCGGCGGCCATCAAAGGATGGGTGGTGAAGCAAATGGATATCGTAACGGCCTTCCTCAACGGCGTTTTGGAGGAAGAAACCTACATGGAGCAGCCAGAGGGGTACAATGATGGGAGTGGCAGAGTGTGGAAGCTGAAGAAAGCACTCTATGGCCTCAAGCAAGCCCCTAGGCAATGGTACATCAAGCTGCGGGAAGTCTTGGAGGCGATCGGCTTCACTCCCTCAACGGCCGATCAATCCTTGTTCATGCTTGGCGAGGGGGAGCAGAGGAGCTTCATGGTGGTTTATGTGGATGACATCCTCATATTCTCACCCTCCTCTGACCTTGTGAAGGAGGTGATGCTGAAGCTTCAAGACAAGTTCAAGTGCAAGACCCTTGGTGACGTCAACTACTACCTTGGGCTTCACATTGAGCGAGATGTGGAGAAGCGGTGGATGCGAGTGCATCAAAAGAAGTACTTGGAGGCCTTGGCTGCAAGCTTTGGGAAGAGTGAAGGTCATGTGGCTACTCCTCTTCCCTCAGGGTTCAAGTGTGTGAAAGGACCAGCGGAGGAAAGTGTTGGTGAAGAGGAGAGGCGCCGTTTTCACTCCTTGGTGGGCAGCCTCATGTATGCGGCCGTTCACACAAGGCCGGATGCAGCCTTTGGTACCGGGCAGCTGGCTAGGGTTGTCCAATGCCCTAATGAAGAGCAGGTAGCAGCTGGAGAGAGAGTGGCCAAGTACCTTGGCCAAACAGCAACCGTTGGACTGCAATACTCCGCGGCGGCACAAAGGCGTCAAAAGGGGGCGGATGGAGTCGAACCCGGGAGGCTCTTTCTCACCGCCTTCTCTGATGCATCTTGGGCATCAGAACCAGAGGACATGACAAGTGTGGGAGGCTTCATCTGCTGTGTTGGTGGAGGCCCAACAGCTTGGGAGAGCAAGAAGCAAGTGGACCAAGCATTGAGCTCGGTGGAGTCCGAGTACATGGCACTCTTCCGTGCCATAAGAGAGGTTGTGTGGCAGCGGCGTTTGCTAGCTGAATTGGGGGAGGAGCAGCAAGGACCTACCCCACTCTACTGTGATAGCCAGGGTGCTATTGCATTGGCTAAGAACCCCGTTCTTCATGGAAGTGTTGCATTGGAAGTGTTGCAAGCTTGCTGGGATGGCTCTGAACTAAGGGGAGCAGATTCTAAGGCCAACAATCCGAGGGGGAGTTTGTTGGTGCAACCCTATGGCTTGCACTCGGCTTGTCGTCCTTGTTTGTGTGTGTGCATGCATGGTATGGAATGAATTGTGAGTCTATGTCATTGCTATCCAGTGCTTGTGTGTGTGTTTGAATGGTGTATCACAATGTGGTTTGTGTCGGTCAAGACATTAGCGAGTTTTTACAACTCGCATGTCAAGTCGTCGTTTGTGTGTCGCATGTGTTTTTTCTATTTTTTCGAGTGTGAAGTGTCCATTGTGTCGCAGGTGTGTGCAGCAAGCCCCCATCAACTCAAGAAGAATTTATCTTGCAGATCCAGGAACAAGAGCTCAAGATTTCAAGCCCAAGGGATGCGGATAAATATTAAATAGTGAAAATAGTAACGTTACTTCGTGTAGTGTTACATTTCACTTGGTGTAGCCCCTTGGAGGGTTTGTTTTGAGACTCTTCATGGTTAGGGACTCTGTGGTGGTGTACCACCAACCTGGACCTCGGCTCTTGGGGTATGTAGAGGCTGCGAACCATCTCCCTCTCGAACTCTTCTTGCTAAGTTTGTACTCCTAAGACTATAGTGGCTGCTATACCTCCTGCCAGTCAAACCGCCATAGCGTCGTCAAATCTTCATGGAATTTCATGATTCAACTTGCTGCTGATAGACGATAGCAAAGCGCTCCAGATCCAAATTACAGATCACCGTTTGATTCAGTGACCAGATCGTTATCAGTATTTGAAGCCGTCTGACGGAAATCCGACTGTGCTCTCTATCTCTCATTATAGGCACATCTAAGCCTATTGTGATTATAACAGCGGCCAGGTCGGCGACAGCGGGGAACGA